TAGAAAGAAAATAAAATGCCTGACTTCTAGTTCCATTCTCAGTTGTTTACTTACTACCTCAAGCAGGAAATATGTACTTATTTGTAAAAAGAAGATAATTATGACTACTCACCTGACAGTAATATTGTAAAAATGAATGGTATCACCTGAGAAGGCCTCAGGAACTAGTAAGAGTTTTATAGTTGTCAGGAACTGGCTTTCTTTTCAAGAATTAAGGAGATTAGAAGTTAGTCTTCGTCTAAATAATGCAGAAGTTAGCTATGAACCAATAGGTTAGCTACCATCACAATTACTTGAAGAAGGATCTGTCAGATATTTCATTATTCTGATTGCTCAGGAAAGTTTCATACATACAGTGGCCTCTATAGAACATGAATACATATAATTATAAAAAAGAAATTGCAAATAGATTAAAGTGGTATTAAAGATATCTTTCATTTGTAAGATAATCCTGTAAATTCGGTTTTTTGAGAGCAATAAAGCAGTTTCTACTACCTCCATTTGCATGGCATCCTAAAGGCTTTCATGTGTGGTTGAAAACTTCTGCAGAAGGTCAGAGTTATCAAGTTTACCTATGCTGACCATAGGTAAACCATAGCTTTAACTATCATGTGCGACTAAATCCAGCCAATTTCTGTTCCTCTCCATCAGGTCATTTCACAAAACATCCAAACAATTATCCAGAGTAAATGCACCTGGAAATTGACCATACACAATTTGCTAGACTGTGAACTCAGACATATATTTCAAATAAACCACAGAAAACATACTCTCTGCTTCTGAATGTCCCCTCATGAGTAAAATGGTAAAACTCCATCCTGGTTACATTCAGAGACCCTTCTCCCATCGTAGTCATGGGTCACCTGGTTTGAGTTATTTTCTGTGCCCCAGGCCCAGTCAGAATAATCAGAACAACTATAGTCCTTCCTTCAGTTTTAGTGCTAGCCTCCTGAATCAGGTAGTTGTAAGCCAGTTCTACCCACTTTCCAAACATAAAGGTAAATCGCAGCTATTGAAGAGCACATCTCAGACAACACAAGCCACACTCACATTCATGGCACATGCTCAGGGCACATCTTCACTCTGCCCTGGCCTTTCTCTGTGTCTTAAGAAGGTTTACAATGCTCCCAACCAAGCTCTGTTCTCCATTTTGGGTTCTAATTCTATCTTTGGGTCTTGGATATTTATCTGGTCTTCTTCAGGTTAACCATTCCTTGATGCACTACAAAATCTTCGGTTCACAATTACCATCAGATTTTTTTTCTGCCATTCATCTCAAAGCCCTGGGAACAAGCTAACGAAGTAGCTCAAACAGTAAGAGCAGCAACACTAATTAACCTGGATCTCCATTTCAGTGAAGGAGACCTCACTGCCTATTCCTGTCCTGACCTTGGTCTTCTCTAGTTCACCACATTCTCCAGCACCATAGAGGGACCCTCAAAGCAATGAAGCTTTGCCCTGGGAATACTTCTCAGGAAACTAATTTTTCATTAAGCCCACTGTTGACAAGAGCATGCCCATATAGCAGGGAATTTAGGCACTGAATTCCTAGTCTTCCACAGTAATTTCTCATTTGCCAGCATTAAATATGATTGCCACTCAGTTGTTACTGGTGTTTCTGGTATTATGTATATTAAATATAAAAAGATAAGATAAAAATATGGAGAATGTAGAAAACAAAAGTTCACTGTTTTATTCTGCTTCTCTAAAATACTATAGTTCTAAAGTTGTCACAAATTTAGGATTTTTATGTTGCCTAAGATTGCACAGTTGACAAGTAGACACAGTGGAATTTGAATCCTGGTCCTTCTAACATCAGGATCTCTGCATTTTTATGATGCCATTCTACATTTGATGAGGAGAGAGATTCTGCCTCAAAACAAAGGGTTTCCCAACACTAAAAAGATGCCTATGCTCATGCCATTAATAGATATAGAGGAGGGCTGACAGAGTGGTTCAAGTGGAAGAGTGTCTGCCTAGCAAGCATGAGGCCCTGAGTTCAAACCCTAGTCACACACACACACACACACACACACACACACACAAAACAGGCATGGAAGAAACTTAAATATATATAACTAAGTGAAGAAAGTTAGTCAGAAAGGGCTACATACTATATGACTTCAACTCTGCAACATTTTGTGAAAGGTAAAATTATGGAGACAATAAAAGACCAGTTTTTACCAGGATGTGTGTGAGGAATAGTATTAAATAAAGCACAGGCAGTTTTTTAAAGGCATTGAAGCTATTTTGATGCTATAATAATGGATACTGGTCACATATTTGTCAAACCCAAAGAATGTAAAACATCAAGAGTGAACCCTAATGTAATCTGTGAACTTTACGGAATAATGATGTGTCAGTGTAGATTCATCTATTACAACTAGTATACCACTTTGATGGGGTATGCTGATAGAGAAACTGTGCATGTGTAAGGCAGGGAGGATATGAGGAATCTATGTTAATTTTGCTAAATATGCTATGAATCTAAAATTGCTCTAAAGGAAAAAGTCATTTTATAAAAGGGGGTTTTCAAACGCTCTCCATCTCTAGCCATAAAGGAAATGCAAATCAAAACCACACTAAGATTCCATCTCATCCCTGTTAGAATAGCCATCATTAAAAACACCTCTAACAACAGGTGTTGGTGAGGATGTGGGGAAAAAGGAACCCTCATACACTGCTGGTGGGAATGCAAGTTTGTGCAACCACTCTGGAAAAAAATTTGGAGGTTTCTTAAAAATCTAAACATAGATCTGCCATATGATCCAGCAATCCGACTCCTGGGGATATACCCAAAGGAATGCAACACAGGTTACTCCAAAGGCACCCATGGTTATTGCAGTGCTATTCATAATAGCCAAGTTATGGAAACAGCCAAGATGCCCCACTACTGATGAATGGATTAAGAAAATGTGGTATTTATACTCAATGGAATTCTACTCAGCCATGAAGAAGAATGAAATCTTATCATTCACAAGTAAATGGATGGAAGTGGAGAACATAATTCTCAGCGAGGTTAGCCAGGCTCAAAAGACCAAAAATCGTATGTTCTCCTTCATATGCAGAATTTAGATCTAGGGCAAATACAGCAATATTGTTGGACTTGGGTCACATGATAAGGTGAGAGCACACATGGGAGGTATGGGGATAGGTAAGAAACCCAAAAAACATGATAGTATTGAGGTCCTCACTGCAGAGGAACTAATACAGAAACTTTAAAGTGACAGATGTCAATATGAGAGATGAATCAACTTAGACTGTAAAACATTTATACATGGAAGCAACGCTAGGAATCTCCCTCTATAGCTATCCTTATCTCAACTAGCAAAAATGCTTTGTCTTTTGTATTATTGTTTATACTCTCTCTTCAACAAAATTAGAGATAAGGGTAGAACATATTCTACTTGAAAGTGAGGGAGGTGCAGCAGGGGAGGAAGGGGACAGGGGTAGGGGGGAGAAATGGCCCAAACAATGTATGCACATATAAATAAATGAGAAAAAAACAAAATAAAATAAAAGGGGGGGTTCCTTCTGCACAGTCATTATAGGTTCTATGTTACCTCACACCTTGCTTCAATTACTAACTATAGCACTCTAAGATATTAACAAAATAACAAAAGTTAGACAAAGTAAGTCAACAGAATAAGAAACTATAAAAAATGAAGTTGTCCTAATGTATCCTAATTCACTCTTTATTTCTATGTCTTTCTCTTTCCTGTAATCTATCTTGTAGACTTTTTCTTGTTTTGCCATTTATCCCTACCATACAACCTCTATCTCCAGAAATAAAAAAAAAAAAAAAGCAAAATGTTTTCACAGTACTCTTAGCCTTTACTGTCTCACTATTCCTGGCAAAACTTAGAGGTATAAAGCATTCAGTTGTTATGCTTGTAGATTCTGTGGATTAATAATAACTCAGACGGGCATATCTCAGTTCTCAGAGGTCAGGGACCTGAGCTGGGAAGACTCCAAGAATGGGTTGATTCAATACCTGGGGTCTGATGTCATTAAGAGGCATTTTCTCTCATGTCTGGATGTAGATGCTGTGAACATGCTGGGACTTCAGCTAGCCTATCAGCTAAAACACCTGTCCATTGGTACCCATTGGCTTCTCCATGTATGCTAGCTTAGGCTTCCTCACGGCATAGTGGTTGTGTTCCAGGAGAAAACATTCTGAAAGAGTAAGAAGGAATTGAATGACCCTTTTATGAGCTAGCCCTGGAAGTCACATAGATCATTTCTACCATACTCAAAGCTGCCACAGAGGTCTACCCGTGTTCAAGAGGAAAGACAGAGACCCAAATCACTAAATTTGTTGACCACAGTGTCAGAACATGTGGAAAGGAGAGATTGTTACAGCCATAATGGAAAATTTCATCTGATCCAATAACTCCTGTTACATCTTATTGGATTTTAAGTACCTTGGTATGTATTGTATTTGAATGTTTAGTTAGACTTTGACCTACATCTCTACCTCTGATCATTTCAGATTATAAACCATGACAGGGACAGCTATGTTAAGTACTTAATTTACATAAGGTTCACCACAGCACCTTGCACTTGACAATCAGAATACATGGTATCATTAGTGCTGTTGCAACTGCAGATGGATACATGCACTTGAATGATCTTTATTTTTATGCTAAAACATTTTAATATTACAGAAAAATATCTCCACATTGACCAAAAAAGCATACAGCATCTTTACTGTGCATGTGAAAGTTATTACTCCAATTAGGACTTTGTTGCTTGAGAAAAGTACACAAATTTCCTCTCTGAAGTGAATAGAGTCTTATAATGCAATAATTGAATCTCACAGTTGAGGAGGAGGGAGGAGTCACTTCCTTGAAGAAACTGTCTTTTCTTTCCCTTCTTAATCAGTCACTTTTACTTTAGTAGATCGTTGAAAGGATTATACTAGTAATCTGGTGGACCTTGATCATGAATGTGTATCTCTTCTGAAAAGTTAACTAATGAAGGCAATTCTTCCTTTTCAGTTGATTTCATAGGTGGCTTTGACTCTTATGGCTATCAAGGGCCTCAGAAGACATCTCACTTACAACTGCAGCCTATGTACATGTGAGTATTTTATTTTGGAGGTATTTTTCTGGGATACTAAAAAATGGTCAAGTAAATGTATTATGGCACAAAATAGATGGCATGCAGCTTTCCCTCAGTTATATTCTTCCTGTATTTTCTTACTATTGATATTGTTTTGACTGGGATGGTCCTAATACAGTTTCTTCATGAGTTTTTAAAGCTTGACTTATCAGAAATGCCATCTCTGAAGTTACCTTTTGTCTTACATCAGTATCATCTATGTGCCTCAAAAGCCCATATTATATCAGTTCTTTGAGTTGCCCAAAAGTTTTATATTTGAAAAATGACAGAACAGTATAGGCAGATGTATAAAACTATATATAAACCATATTTTCTGGTTTTCTCAGAATAGTCCCAGTTTACCTTGGTTTTCTTGGTATAATAATTATCAGCCCTCCATATTACTCTCAAAAGAGTTCTCATTTATATGATGAATATAAATCAACTTTTTGAAGGGCTCAAAAAGTCAAAAACCAAGCAATGCTTTATCATTTTTCTAATGTGAAAGTGAAAATGAAACTGAAACATTAACACTGAAACTTATCAAACCCTTAACTCTAGCACGCAAGAAAGCAGATATACAATCAGAGCCTGATTTTTATATCTGTGTTTAGGCAAATTCCCCTGGATAACAACTGATAACAAATTCTATATATCAGCATCAAGTGATATGCTGAATTGCAAGCGAAGATCAAAATAGAAAGTAAGATTCCAATTCATTTTAAAATGTGAACTTCTCTCTTTGAAGATATGTGTTTGTTGTCGTTGTCCTCCACATTAAATCATTTCCCTTTTGGTATCTTTAATGTATAGGATAACAAGTGGACTTTAGGGGCATTTCTCCTCCAAGATATTAAAGTAATCTTTAGGCAATCCTTTTAAGCTTCTCTTTAAAAAGAGAATGATCTATGCATGTGCCTGCCTTTCCTTTGTATTCCTTGTAGTTCTCTGCAAGCATTTCCTAACACATTCATAGAAAACACTTCGTCAGTTCAGGAATCAACCAATACTACAAGTCACTTCAAAGCGCTGCCTTAAACAGCAGATCACACATTCTTTCTTTTACATCCTCATAACCACTGCCTTAAGCATTTGTGATCTGTTAACTTAAAATTCCCAGTTTCTTTCTTATTTCAGAAATTCTATCCCATAATCCACGTGGCTGCCAAATTAATCTTCCTAATGTCCTGCTCTGATTATCTCACTTCCCTGCCTAAGAGCTATCAATAATTCCTTAATACATACTAAACAAAGTTGAAACTCCTTATCATAGCTTCTGAGTCCACTTTGATTTGGCCTCAGTGCTCTGTTGAAGCATTATCTCTTGAACCCTTAATAACTTTTTCATCCTGGCCATATGCAGATGATGCTATAAGTCACTAGAAAAATGTCATGCTGAATAGGAACTGGCCCTGTCCTCCAGAAGCTTTTAATCTATTGAAGGCATAGGCTAATATCACCCAATTGCCTTTTTTTCCCCACAAACCATAACTCTTGCCTTCTCCAAATATATAATTTTCTAATTCTCCATACTGTTCTTCTGATACCTAATCTCATCTTTTTTTTAATTAATTCCACCTTTTGAAATTCCACCATCCTTCAAGTTTTACTTAAAATATACTTCCCATAGAAACATTTCTTAATCTCTTATCTCTTTGACTCTAACTTCTCTTTTTTTCTTTTGCCATATCCCACAGTTGGTGGCTACTTATACTTTATCTCCCCTAACCACTCAGAAAGATTTGATAGTATAACAACAACAACAACAAAAAATGATAAATCTTTCGCATTTTTTTTCTTCTCTGAGATAGAGTCTAGCTAAGTAGCCCAGGCTGGCCTGGAACTCATGATTCTCCTGCCTGTACCTCCCAAGTGCTAGAATTACAGGTGTATGCCACCATGCCCTGCTTCTTTTACATTCTTTACCATTCTTCTCAGTATTTTATTGTAATGTTCTATAAGATGTTCTATTTTAAAAAGAACACTTGAGTAATGATTGAGATGACCTATTTAAGACAGACTACCTAAGATAAAATTCTTTATAACCTTTGGCATACGACTTTGTTTGAACAACTTTAATCTTGCCAAGCCTTGGTTTCTTCACTAGTAGAGATGGTAATATACCTACTTCACATAGTTGTTCTGAAGTTATAGGAAATAATGCATGCAAAGCCCTTATGGAGTCAGAAATCAACATATCCCATACGTCATTCTCAAAGGATCACCTCATAAACAGCATATAACATAGAATGTCAGCTCAAGCAAAACGTAACAATTGATTTGTGCTCAAGAGTAGCTCAAAGTATCTACAAAGCCTTTAATTGCTTGCTTCTGATAATATCGTATAACATTTCATTGTGTTGGTCAATATAACTGACTGATAAATATGATAAAACTGTAATAAATTAGATATAACCACTCATCTAACAATCAGCTATGGTAATAACATAAAAATCTTAATTATACATAATCAGAAATATTGGTTCAAATCAGGCATTTATAATTCTAATGTTGGTCTTTAAATAGGGACTCTAAAAAGATACATATCTTTGTCAAGATTTAAATTCCTTAAGGACAAAACTTCCCATGATTTTCTTCAATAGAATACTTTAAATGCCAACAAAAGCTAATGAAACTAGTTTTCCTCTTTACTGCCTGAGAATGGTAAAATTACATGAGTGCTTTCAAGTTTCCTTGTTCGTTAAATAAATGTTTAATGAAATTCAAATCTAGAAAGTTAGTAATACTTAAGGTACATTAAAAATTGCTAGTCAAAATTCTACTAATATCCCTGGCAGAAAATATCCCAAAGGAAACCTCAGTCCTAGAATGTTAAGATTTTATTTTAAAAATGTGGACACTGAATCAAGAGGAAGGAAAACAAGGCTGTATGTGGTGGTAGACGCCTGCAATCCCAGCTACTAGGGAAGCAGAGATAAGAGAGTCCTAGTCCAAGGCTTACCTGGGCAGAAGTTCAAGACCTGATCTGAAACAAAACTAAAGCATAAAGGGCCGGAGGCATAGCTCAAGTGGTAGAGCACTTTCTTAAAAGTGCAAGGCCAGGAGTTCAACCCCCAGTGCCACAACGACAGAGAGAGAAAGAGAAAGGAAAGCAAAAATCACACCACTCGTTAGCAAGGATTAGCAATTGCTTTTCCTGATCCTTAATTCAGTATTCTTTTCAAATTCTTAGCTGGACTTGTGAGTTCAACCTCATATTACATCCTCTGATTTTATTTTACTTCTGGTGCACCATACACTAATTCAGTTGCCCGTTTCCATACATGGCAGCACCCTCTCCTTTTCCTACATTCTCCTTATTCCCTTTTGATTTTACGCTACACAATATTGAATGAAGAGCATTTTCAACTTTGTAACCCTCCAAACCAATCATCAGATAGCCACCGTCTACTCAAATCCTGTGAAAAATCAGAACTGATTCATTCACCTATAAACATCGTCCTGTGCTGAGAGGCACAGCTCTGAGCATCTCCTCTGTCTTTGTCCTTTGGAGTGTACCTTCTGTCAACTTGCCATAAATATGTCTTGTAAAGTAAGAGGAATTTAACACCATGGGCCAGTTCAAGCACCCTGATGATACTATATAGCTACTGGAAATAAAAGCTGTTCTTTTGAAAGAAAGCAAATGCTGAAAAGCAATGTGCAGTTTTAGCTGTGGGTTTCCATTATGCCCACAAATCTTCTGTGGCCAGGGTCCTGGGCAAAGCTATAAAATCACTGCCAATACTAACTTAGAGTCATAACCACGTTATGGTGCCTATAGCCAAAGACTACACTGTCCTCCTTATTTTTATAGTTGGGTGTATGTCATTGATTTATTCTTCTTCACATTTCCATAATCCAAAGATTTTCATTATTTTTTTTCTCCCAGTTTGATAACTATCTTTGACATAAATTGGAATCAATGAAGTCACAGCACAAATTCTTATGTCCATATGTTAACTTTCTCACAAAGTAGTCGTTTTAACTACCACTCACCTATGTGCCATAGCAAGTATAGATCGGATTGTATGCCCTGCCTTGTCAGAATATCCTGTGGTGAATTAGTAAACGTGAAAACAATGCATTCTTTCTGGCAGCCTAATTGTACAGCAATACGTATTCATTTCATTTGTCCCCAGTAACAGATTTTGAGTGACCATAAGTGGCCTCTATCCAGGTGATTGCACTGAGAAAAAAGAAAAGGAGAGAAAACTATCTACTTAAGACCCAATTTGGGCTGCTTTTTCCTTTTCCTTTTTCTTTCTTTCTTTCTTTCTTTTCTTTTTTTTTTTTCTTTTCCTTGTTGTTTGCTCTTGTACTTGGAGAGGTGAGAAAAGGAAGTGAATGATAGGCACCCAGTGCTCTCCCCCCTTGATTAAAACATCTTTTCTCTCTTTTTAGGTCAAAATAATACAGATGACTTCGGTATGTCAGCCCATGGACCTCTCAAAGTACTTGTTAAGCAGTGACCTCCTGCATTTTATGAAGAGCAAGAAGCAAATGAATTTAAATATACATACATATTATCAGAACAGTTTCTTCTCTCTCTCTCTCTCTCTCTCTCTCTCTCTCTCTCTCTCTCTCTCTCTCTCTCACTGATTCACTTGACGTCCTCTTTCTAACTGAAACAAATATGCAGGACATGCCCATCCTGGATTTCCTGAAAGCAGGCTCCTTTCTCCCAGGCCTTTGAAAGTGCAAAAGGAGACGTGTTGGTGCCCTCTGCTGTCCATTCCTCATTCTTCTGCATCCAGCTAGCCGGCCTCTTGAGAGCTGTGAAGTCATCTGGCACATTAGTCTGAGAGCCCTGTTTTCTGCACTCCATACATCCTGATAGCACCATGGCTACTTAGGCAATGATACTGCAAAAACAAACAAAAAACATGCCATGATGACCCTGTAACCGAAGTCTGAAATGGCAGATTGTTTGCCCTAAAGGCTGTACCGTATATACTTGCCTTAACCCACCTTTGTTGTGTGCCCGAGAACCTCAGTGCAGACATCCCTGAGTCACTTCCTTTAGGCTAACACACTGCTATTAATTCCAAATGAGTTCAAGTCTGTGTGTTTCATGTCAAGGAACAAGACTGATTAACTCAGCAGCTCCAGCGTGTCTGTGTAAGAAAACTGCCAGCTGTCAGCAAAGTGCTTTACCAATTGAGCCTCCATGGTGACCAAAAAGAGACAAGTACCAATAACAACAAAAATAATATTTGTCATCTTTACAGTTCTTAAATATGGTCTTCTGCTGGGGTTGGGGTGGGACAAAGTAATATTTATTCATCGACTACACACATTAATCTACAGAAAGCAGAAATGGCTTAACTCACTGATTTTATTTATTGCACTCTAGGTGCTTTTATAAGTATCTACAAATGTCTTTTACTAACACAGAAAACAGCTGTGGATTTCTATCAACAGAGGCCAACTGACTATGTATTAGCTATGTTTACTCTTTTATATCTAATTCAAATTGAAGACCCAATGTAGGTGAACTTTCTTTTCTAACTTCGGCGTACAAGATTATTTTTTGGGTGGGTGGGGGGAGCGATAGTTATCTTGGTGAAATATTTGAGACATCTTTGTGGTATTTGGGGGATCTGTTGTGTGTTAGAGTGTATTTCAATCCTCCTGTATTATTGTGGCAGAAAAACTGTGCTGTTAACGTAGTTGGCAACAAGATGCCTTTGGAAACTTAATAGTAGGTCAATGTGTTTATGGAATATTCTGAACTCCTAGGAAATTTTGTTTTATTTTTTCAAGCATTATTTGGTTTTCATTAGTGGAAAACATATTAGCTCAGGCTTATCAGTAACTCAAATGAGTCATATTTTTTCTTGGATCCACTTGAGACATGAAACTCAATTTTTGTTTACACATCATCTTTAACTGCAGTGAATTGAGAAAGTTATAAATCAGCATGAAGCAACTTTTTGCTTTGGTTTCTATGAAATTTCTGTTAGTGGGCTAGCCTACCTTGAATCTTAGTCCATTCAGATCTACATGAAGCAGTTCTATTACTGTGTTTGCACGAATGTTTGTGATATACTCGTTCATACACATTTGAAACTGATAAAGGAAAAAAACTTACCATTGGAACATAAATCACACACAAGAAAAAATGATTCCAGCCCTCATGCTTGAATTTTCTCAGTGGCTTGTGTGTTTGTCCATACCTACATGTATAAAATACACAATTGCAAACATGTCAGTGAAACCTCATATAATGTTTTTATAGTGACATGCATGTTAACATATGAGGAAAATATTTACCAATGTATTGTCCTTTGAGTCCTAAAATATAAATACTATCCATGCCAGAAACTATCCAATGTGACTATTTCAATGAGGTTTCACTATATACACTGCTGTGGTGAGATTCCACCTTGCTGTACATGTATATGGATACAGAAAATAAGCCCTCATAGTTCTGTTTTAAGTTGCAGCCAACTTACCACCAAAACACTACTAATCATCACCACCAAAATCTTCAAAAACAGTTGTTGACTACTAAAGAGTAATCAGTGAACAGGCCTTTTTTAGGAACAGTAAGCACAGTCGTGTGATTCTATCTGGGAAAACATCAAAGTTGTACAGCTGTATCCTCCTCAAAATCTGGTGAAGAATGCTATTTTTCTAGGCTGATCTTTTGTTATAAACCTAATATTCTGAAGGCAAGAGTTACAATCCTGATGTGTCTTTTTTTTTTCGCATTTGTTAATTCTGAATGTATTTTTAACAGAGTGATTTTTTTGACTTACTAGTGTAATTTGCATTTTAAAAATAAATGGAAAAACAATTAAGTTTCTGCGCCATCCCTGAAAGCCCATGCTGCTCCTCACAGTGTATTCCATTATGTCATTCATGGGGCCCTGCTGATGCTCTGTGCAATGCAAGGGCGTTTCAGCAGTGACTAGAAACTGCCTGGTCCTGGCATGACTCCAGCGCAGTTGTAGGGAACGTGAACACATGTTACCGCCCAACGCTGAGGGTTTCCTTATTTTTATTGTATTTATTTTGGGGGCGGCTTTACTGAGGTTTAGACTCAGGGCCTTGTGCTTGCTAGGCAGGTGCCTTACCACTTGAGCTGTTGGCCCCCAACCCTGAAGGCTTCTTTAGAAGACTGCCTGCAACAAACTTGCTGTCACCTGGAGAACTTACTTCTCTTCCATCTGGGATTTGAAGTAAGCGTCAAACTAATAATTAACAGAGGTGGTAGAGCACTTTATTACAGACCTTTGGTTAATTATAGACGTTTTCATTTTTATAAAAATATTTTAAGTAAAATAATTTAAAATTCTCATTAGTTGCCCCTCTGATGACATAATCTTTGTTGTTGTTGTTAAAGTATTGATACTCACCTCAACAAAAGACAATGACAGTGAAATATCTTGCTGTAGGGGAGGGAAGTAGAAAAGATTAACTCCTGGCAGTTGTTGACTGTATGGCTCTAGATTTCAGCTGAGCTTCACAGTAGGCACAAAACAGCAGAGAGCAGCTGGCCTGGGCTGCTCCTGGCTCAGGGTGGCGCTCAGGTCTGTGCTTTCTCCCAGTACACACAGAAGCAGGACCCTCGCCCGAAGTCAAAACTGAAGCTGATTGAAAAGGAGGAAGGGTTTGAGGCAGTAGACCAAGCTGAAGACCGACTTGTAATGCTTGATTCCTCCCCCACAGCAGGAGAACATGTGAATGATGGGAGTCTGCTGTTACCTTTGTCCCCTAAGTGAGAAGTACATCGAGGTGGTTTCATTGAAGTAGATGTGGATGCCTAAAAGGATGTTGTGTTACACGGTGAGGCACATAACATCCCTATAGCACCAAAAGGAACACAATTACTAAGTCAGCCATATATACACATGTATAATGCCTTAAAAAAAAATGCCTTCTTCCGGGACATCTCAATTATACAGGTTTTGAGCTTGGTCAGTTATAAGCAAAACTAAGGTCGGCATTTGGTAAGCATTGAAAAACATAACATCTAATACAGTAAGGCAAATATCATTCCACTGTGATATAATAAATGGACCATTTTAATTCATAAATATAGACGATTAAAATAGTTCACATTTAGAACAAATCTTTGAGATCCAAATTCATTCATTATAGGTAGTAAATGAAGATCCAGAATGGTTAAGAAATCACCCATGGCTACTACATATCCTGAAAACGCAAATAATTCACCATTCCACACAAATTCTTGTGTGTGCCCTGGTAAGAACAGAATAAATCAAATCCCAGGCCATATCAACTGACCCTGGTTTTTATAAATTAAAATGAAAGATGATAAAGAAAACCCTGACAGGATTAAATCATCAAATGCTTCTGAATTTTATTGTATGTGAGGGTCAGTATAGTTTTGATATTAAAATACATCTTATTATATTTCTTTTAAAACCCAATAATCCAGACCCAGAAGTAAGCATGTATATATATATATATATACATATATATATATATATATATGTTCTTGTGTATTTCTCAACCAGTTATGCTGGATTTCAGAGTTAAGATATTGTCTGTTGTTACTTTTACAGTACACTTATAAATAACTACTATAGAGACATTAGGATTACTTAAGCAGTCCTACCTTGAGTGCTTCTTATACCTATCAAGAAAATCTTCCTTGTATACATGGAAGTATTACAAGGAAATGCCCTGTGTAGCTATCTTAGATAAAAATGTCATTTTTTTTTCATTTACAAAATCAAGAACAGGAGGGGGGAACAGGTCCTGTGGGGTGCAAGGGAGGGGTGTTGATACCAGTGGGAGGACAGAGTAGGAGGAGAAAGAGCATGGAAGGTAAATATAGTGCAAATACTGTGTATACATGTGTAAATGGAAAAATAATACCTGTTGAAACTATTCCAGGAATGGTGAGAAGGGGGATAAAGGAGAATGATGGAGGGGGTAAACTCAAGTAGCTATATTATATTGTAAGAACAATATAATAACAATATTGTAAATGCCACAATGTACCCCAACCCAGCACAACAATTAAAAAAATGCAAAAATTCATATTCAGAAAAAATAAGAAAAGAAAATTTTCTTCTGATGTTTTATCAATCTTCAGTAAAATTTCAGCACTCAGGGCTTATACTCAGAAAGCTTTGATATCAAGATATTCACACTGTAAATAATAAAGCATCATTTATTTTCAACACATCTGAATCATTGCTTAGGGTCCATGTCCGATCCTCTTTTCATTTTATTATATTTACCTTCCACTCACTTCCAAGAAAGAAAAGAACAAAGTCTGCTATTGATATATTACATCCAATTTAAAACATGTTAGTATATTAAAACAATTATTTTTGATAACTATGAGATGAAAATCTCTAAGACATTTGTGTATTCTATAATGAAAATCTCTAAGACATTGTGTATTCAATAAAAATTTAAGGAGAAAATACTTTCAAGGGTCATATTTACCACTGAAATCTACACAAGTGTTATGAGTTATTATTACTAATGACAACAAAGCAGTGAAAGTGAGTTCCTCTTAAAACAGATAAAGGCAAGCATTTTTGTATTCTGTAGAATTATAATGAAGGTCATTAAAAAAACCTTAAATGTTAAGAAATAAGCTTTAGATTTTGATGGATAATAAAAAGAGATATCTGTAAGTTAAGTTCAGAGAGGAAAAATTCTTTTGCAAGCCACATGTTGATGCTCTTACACAATATAACTCCTTATTAAAATTATTGTAAGCCTTAATAATGTGACATATTAACAATAAAACAGGCATATTTGTTAACTGCTCATTCTGCCCTCATATGAATTTAAGCTGTAAGAGCAAAGGAGTAAAACAACTCCCAAAAAAGGATTACAAATTGATGCTGTCACCCCAAGGATGATGGATTGATTCAATTAATCATTAAGTCTTTTCTAAGAGTCCTTCAGGGAGTTACTTACCAGAGGCATACCCTGTTTATTCCCTTCCAGGCGCCTGTCATTTTTCTTCATTATTCTTCTAGTTTTATTCATTATATCTTTGGGGGATATGCTGATCTCCATGTGCAAAGGGTTTTGCACAAAGCTGTTCAGACATAAATCTTCCAAGGTTTGAACTGAAGGCCACCAAAACACCTGAGCCTCTTGTCATTGTTCTCAGTGTGACCAAGATGCTCTCAGGATGATGGACACTAATTTACAAATGGCAAATCAATAAGAAAGTGTCAAATGGAGGAAAGACTATAAAACTTCTTCATTCATAAATATGGTTATAACCAGCTTGTACTCCACACATGTGGAACTGGCCTAGCTCTGGATAACCTTCCCATCACCAAAAGCAGACCCAGAGAGCTGAAAGGCTAGGACCTGTGCTAATAGTCTCCAGTAAAACAAAACACATCCAGTGATTGTGTTGTTTTAGATACTAACAGGTAAACAAATATTCTGAAATATTAAATATTTCTACTTCTGATGGAACAAATCATTGATCAGTTTTAGTTATAAAGAGTAATGGTTCTAACATACCTATTAGGATGGCTACTATCAAAAAAAAAACTGAAGATAGCAAGTACTGGTGAGGATGTGTGGAAAGTGGAACCCTTGTACATTGCTGGTGAGAATGTAATTTACTACAGATACTATCTGAATATTTTTTTAAAAATAAAAATAGAATTACCATTTTATTCAGCAACTGCATTTCTAGATATACACCCAAAGGAAATGAAATCAGTATGTTGAAGAGATCTTCACTGTTATGTTCATTGCAACATTTGTCACAATAGAAAGGATATGTAATCAGTCTCAGAGTCCATCAGTCCATGAATGGATAAAGAAAATATGTACTTATGTACAATGTAATAATATTCAGCCTTAAAAAAGAAGTAAATCCTGTCATTTGTGACAACAAATGATAACAACAACATGGATGAAAATGGAAGACATGATGCTAAGTGAAATAAGCCAGGCACAGACAATTTTAGTTACCTTTTTTCTAAAAAGGTAGAAACCACATAAGCATAGAATATAATGGAGATTACATGAGGCTGACAGGTGGGAAAGAATTGAGGAGATGTTGATCAAAGGATATGAAATTTCAGTTAGACAAGAAGAATAAGTTCAAGAGATCAATTGTACAAAATGTTTTTTATAGTCACCTATAAAAACTATTATAATGATGACTATAATAACAATGTATCATATACATTATAAATGAAAATTGCTAAGAGAGGAGTTTTTACATGTTCTCACCACACAAAAATTATACGTTAGGAAATGAGCATGTTAGTTGGCTTGAATTAGCCATCCTACACTGCATATGTATATCAAAATCCCATATTGTACATCATAAACATATACAAGTTATATCAACTAAAAAATTACCTTAAAAAAGTAGTATCCAAGGAGAAAAATGACTATAGAGAAACCTCATTGCTAAATCTTATTATGATATATGAATACATAGCAGTTAGTGAAAAATATGGGATCCATCATTCAAAGATTAGAAAAGAAGTGTTGCTAAAATTATCAAAGTATAAAATATTTCCCTTTAACAATATTTTATTACTTATAAATCATAATAAAGGAAGTAGTAGTGCATGAATAGCTATATAGTATTATAAATTATTGCAAAGAACATTTGGGACTTATAAGTTTATATAATACAATAAGTGCTTTATTAGTAGGCTATCTTGATCATATTTCTCTGGTCACCTTTCTGTAGCCTTGTTTACTAGTTTATCAAAATGCATATATTTAGCAAGTACAAATTAATTTTCAATCAGTATAATTGAAGGTGATATCAATCACTCTTAACAAATGCATCATGATTAATTTTTTATAATTTTTAATTTTG